GGGGGAGGAATAGGTCTCTGTCCCCCCCATGATTTTGATCGCCAGGACAGATTTTCAGGTTTATATCCACATGAATGTCTTGTTCTGAAGGCTATCTAACCACTGCCTTGGGTCTCGACACAGTAATTTATCTTCACGATATCTTCCTCCTTAATTGAAGGTAGTCAATTTTACCATATCGTCATCATATTACCCCTAGTTACAGCTTTCATGGAAATAACACTAGTAAACTATTCGTAATTATTATTTTGGTTTGGTAATGAAAGGTTCCAGAGTTGGTCCGTCCCCCCCCCCCCCAAAAGTTATGACAAATCCGAGCCCTTGGTCCTCACTCTCACTTAATTAGAACTAATATTATCTTGTCCGAAAGCATCGATCAACCAATCAAATTGCTTATCTCTGCTTACCCTAAGTAGAAAATCCTTATCTTCGCACTCCATCGAGGCATTGACCTAATAAACACCCGCACCAAGTTTGAACATTCTAGCTCAATTAGAAAGAGAGTTATTGTGTCGCAAAAAGTGTGATGGACAGACAGACGGACGGACAGACAAGACGGACGAACCCATTTTAATAGTCCCCTGCTTTCTTTGAAAGGCGGGGGACAATAACAGAGCTTTGATGGCCGGAGCAGCAACATGTGGAATAATTGTTGCATAAATCTGAATTTGCATTGGGTTCATCATGTATATTATGAATCATCTAATAATAAGCCCAGAGAGACAACAATTATATATTAAAAAATAAATTAAAGCCTATGCTGGCCTATGCTCAACACACATAAGATTGCTTGCTAAAATAGAATATTGCATAGAACGAAACATCCTTTGAGGACAACATAGCTATAATGTCATTCTAAGCCTAAACATACAGGTAAACTGTTAAGACGCTTTAATATATTATACTATGTAGTATGCATCACATCTTAATTTTAATTAACACACATAAGCTACTATTTAATATATTATCATGTTTTTATGTGTCACAAATAATTTTTTTTATAATAGACGTCATTAGTTTGATTCTATGCATGAGTTATTATAATTTTATTTCATCTTTTCTAAGCTTGTACGTATATATCTAATGAATACGAGTACACCAGTAATCAACACTGAAAACGAGAATGGATAAATATTACAATATAAACATGATACAGATGATACATTTTATTATACAAAAAAAACCTTGATTTTACTCATGCAAAACACTTTATATCAGATAATATCAGATATTATCACAAAATAAAGGGTGTGTTCTTAAATTTAAACTGATAACTCTGCATCTCCTTAAAAGTTAAAGTAGCAATATAGTTATTCATTTATAAAAAAACCAACACATCCAGTCTTTGCATGTTTGCATGGAGTTAAAGCATACTTTATAATATGGTCATCTACAATCTTAAAAACCTCCATACTTCTCAAATACGTTCGAAACTCCTATTTAATTTTTAAATTGGTAGTCTATAAAAAAATTTTTTTTTACATTAATTAATGATGTTGAAAGTACCAAGCTTAAACTGTCAGAAATTCTTAATTAATAAATGTAATGTATAATTAAAAGCTGATTAATGACAACAAATTATTATGGCCAGGAATAGCATAGATTTATTGTCACTTTAAGAAAATGATTTTGGTTTTTTTTTTAGATTTTCACCCACACCCTATACATTATTTCACGTCTAATTCCCAACTTGTTGGAAATTAAAGTTTACTACTTTTCTTCCAATTATACAAAATTAGGACATATAGAGTAGGCCTACAAGTGCTTTTATGATTTCACCACATGTATAGTATAGTTATGGTCCGACATACCTTTCACTTCCGAATTAAACACAAAAGTCGAACAAGAACTTGTATGTCCACTCCAATGTAATTGATTTTATCAATGGATTGCAATTCAACTTAGATGCATTGTGACACATTTGGTCAGCATAAATCAAGGATGATGTCCCTTTAAACAGTGTTAGCGTTTGTGATATTGATTCAAATGGGTACAATCAATAAAGTTAATGGAAATAGATTGTTTCTATAAAAGTGATGTTTAATTGTTGGTCCAATCAGTGTATTGATGTAATGAATGTTTTACTACGTACATCAATCAGATAAATGATTTGATATGTCTAACACTATAAAGATACATGTTACACCTCTAAAACCACTAGCAATCCAATTACCACTAAATATTAAAGGGACAACACATCCAATCAAATCCTTTTAGTCGATATTGTCCAGGTGGTGTTATGAATTATTTCTGTATTTTGATCAGCCAATACAAAACACTATTCAAAATGATATAAATCGAGAAAACTTAGCTTTCAAACAGTCTCCTTACCCCCAAAAAATATTCATGTAAGAAGAATACAAATTAATGACAAAATTTACATACAAAGCGGTTACAAATAGTTTATGAAAAAGTTAAGATAATTTGTGGGTAATCAGGTGAAAAATATTCCAGAAGTCAAGGTAGGGTTACGATAAAGATACGAAATGAAAGAATCATCTATACGAATTGAAGCGATCAAGTTACGAATGAGTTACAGATATGCCGAATTGATAATGAATATGCCTAATTGCTTACGAATATGCCAAATTCAATTATAAATACACTACGCTCTCAAGGAATGATTCCGATAAAGCTACATAAGGATTATGATATTTGGCACTATTCATCAAAGAATCGAATAGGAAGCTGAACATTACAGAAGATAAGAAATTTGTAGACCGTACACGAAAGTGGCCAAACTATGAACTGCTACGAACAATACGAATGTGTAAGAACCAAAAAAGAATCACTCACGAACCATTAAGATTTCTCAACGAAACAGAAAACGTTTTGATTCAGGCGATTCATGGCATTCGTAGCCCATATGACAGCAGGCTTTCAAATATCACTGACAAACTTCATGAACCATCTCGTGGCATAGGTAGCCCACATGAAGATGGGGCATAATAGTGAATGTTAACAGAACACACGTCTGGTTTATAAAAATTGTCCCAACTTTTTTTTAAATATATAATTTATATGAAATGAAATGAAATGAAATGGGGTTTAACGTCCTACTGTTCTGCTCCTATACTGGGCTAATGAAGACGGGCATACGCCATACAGTGTGCTATGAGGGAAATTTTGCCCGGGCAGCGGCACTATCGCCTACTCTTATATCGAATTCCAACTGCCAAGGGATCTTTTACATGCATTCTAATGTATACACGGGACCTTAATTTATATGAATTACATATCTCTGCTAAAGCTTTCTATCGTCATTTGAATCTCTGGCAAACTATCATAATGTTGCATGAATGTTGAATATCAATACAAAAATATAGTTATATTCTGTTCAGTATTTGCAAAGATATAATAAACATGAAGTACATTATATTGGAGATTATGTTGGGAAAAATTAAATATTGTCAGAAAATTCAAATGACGGTCAACAGCTCTCATATTATTATATTTCAGTTTCATAGGTGCTGAGTAGGCTTTTATTTAATCTTAACAAAATATAGCAATTTATATTCTGACATATTATTCCTTTTCTCCTCAAGAACTGATCATTGCAGATAACCACATTATAATTTGTGTGGCTTATATATCTCAGCAGTTCTGAATCAATGCTCAACAAGGTCATCAAAAATCTATCTGATCTAGCCAAATATTTTATTATCTCCAGTCAATTTCAACACCATTAATTAACCCTTGAATAAATAACCATGAACAGTTATTTGGGTGTTTTATGCTCTGTTGGACAAAGCTCATGTAGGTGAATTCTTTAATTTTATACTAAACTATACATCATGCATCATTTGTTTGATCGAGGACTACAGAATCTTTGTCGAAATGTCAATCACTTATATAAACAGTGCCGGTAATTATATTCCATAGAACTGTATATTTCCACTGTTCAGTTCATTTCATTTATAAATATAGCCTAGTTAGGTGATATGTAGCATAAAATATTGATGATTACATCAACATTAATATGTACCACACGTTTTGAAAATTAATGTTATGTTAGATATTTAAACAGATATTGTAATATATCACAGTGTGAAATGTTTGTTGTAACTTACATATATACTCATGCTTATATGTAGTTGTGAGTAAACTATTATTATTATTATATCATAATTACTAAATAACTTAGTAGTACTAATTGGATGCTAATTATCAAAATTAAAATGTGTCAGCTTTAAACTGGACATTAGATAATTTTTTGTGATTTTAAATGATTTTTACAAATTTTCTAACAAAGATTTGAATGAATGTGAAAGAAATTAATACTAAATGCACAAGATTAAATGATAAATAGGTTATTTTAGTGTGAATTAAGCCCTAGAAATTTGATATTTTCCGAAAAATGCAAATGATGCATAGAGTCTTTAATAAAACATCTATACTAGACATCTATATTTGACAAACATGTGCCCACCCTTTTGGTCAGTCTGGCCATCAAAGGTAGTGTGGTAACTATAAAGATGTAAATTGAAAAATGAGAGTACCAGTACTTAATATTCAGTTATGATTTCTAGTCTACGTAAATATGATGTTTTAAATTCAATTTGTTTCTATGATCTCTCCTATAATACCCTTGAATTGTCTAACATAAAAGTCTTCATTCAATGAATAATTGAATCACAAATCAATTTCTGAATTGACCATTAGAAATCACATAATACAAAAGTTAAATAATGTCCACATTACATTTCTTATGAGATATTAATGTAGACATTGCTGAATGTTTACAAAGTATGACACCAGACATATCAATCTACTGGTAACTTATTGGCTCCACTTGTGAACTGTGACCTTTTTGCTCAAATTCTATGCTGTTTAAAATACATAGCAATATTTCTGCAGACCTATAAATGCACCACACCCAAGTCCACCTACCCAGAAATGTGCATCACAAGCTCCACAAGTTTGTATTCAACCATTACCCCGAACTCCACAAACTTTCATGTGGACAAGGGAAAAGAAATCATAATAAAAGTTGGCTTTACCTGTTATAATAGCCATTATATTTGTGTATCATCCACACTATCACATCAAAACTACTCCACACTTTATCTATATAGCATACCATCAGAACAAACCATGTCAACTCCTCACAATACTTCAACTACATCTACTAATCATTTAACAAAAAAGTTTCTGAGTTAATCCTTGCTTATCACACAATGTAATAACACTGTATGTGAGTCCTTGTACAATAATACAGTTCTGTGTATTTCATAATATTCAACATTAGACTAATATAGACATGGCTTCTATTGTTTGTCAATGTTATTATATATTGAGAAATACTATAGTTATAAAAGGTTATGATTAAAGGTACTTCCCATACACACCACTACAAATTAGGCCTATCATGCATATAGACCCTAGAAACCCTGCTGTGTTTAAACTAGTATAAATCATGTGGTATACATAACAAGATCCAACTCATGGCCTTGTGTTACACAGTTTTATTGACATTGTATGGTTAGGATATAACACATTTATCAAAGTAGAGAAAAATATATTATATATACTTGCATGGTTCATAAAATCAATTTTTTCTTATGACATATATTATCATACAAACAATTGATATTTCAGGCAAGTAAATTAAAAAACAACACTTGATTGACTTTCAGAATACAAATATCCATGAGGATATTTTCTTTTCAAAACAAATATTTTTTTTTACAAAATTCTGTTTTAGAATGTCTAAAATTTATTTATGTGGCCTAAGTAAAGCATTAATATTATAATCATTACACAAGCTGTTTTCCTATAATATATTTATATGCTAATCAAACACAAACATAGAAGAATAAATTCTGCTTGCTTAATTTGTATATACTATATAGCTGTATAAAATTACCATTATTTATCGATTTTGATTTACAAATAGTAGTTTAATAATGGCAAGCAACAGATTTTTGTATTAATTACAAATTATATCAATCTTACTTTAATCAACGCAAATAATTCTAATTAAAAAAAAAAAATAATAAAACTATTTTCATTTGATATTAAATAATTCTAACATTCTAAACTATGAAACCTTTTTCAAGAAAAAAACAATTTTCATAAATGTCTGAATTGTTTAATTTAAAGAACGAAAACAACAGTTTTATTTGATTGAATAAACAGGGTAAACCCTTAAAAATAAATTTGAAGAGAAACCTGCAAGTAGAACTTGAAGCCATTACAATTATGATGTAACATTCCTTTTTGTTAACTGAAAATCTTCCTGCAATTTAAAACTGCATGGGTTGACAAACTAGATTTGGGATAATTTTTTTATATTTTTTAAATTACATTTTGGTAACTTCATGATCTTTACATTAGAATGTTAGAACCAGCAGTTGCCAGGCAAGATACACCCACATTTTGCAAGAGATGGATATAGAGAACAAGCTAAAAAAAAATAAAACCACGATTTTTCGTACAACCAGGGGCCATAATCCATAAAGTTATGGTCTGAAATGCACAATTAAACAGCAGAAAAAGAAGTTGACAGTCGATAATCCAAGAATTACTTAGGCTTTGATATTTATAGTAAATGGATCTTCTCCTCAATTAAGTCACATGACAAACAACGATGCTTAAGATGTAAAATGTATTGAAAGGGATTTGAAGCAAATTTTTGATAAATAAATTAGTATGCATATTTTTTCTAATCCAAATATATCATCAAATAACCCAGTTTGTATGTGTGAAGGCATCTGTAAATGAATTATAGTGACAAGTGCTTGATTCTTTTTGCTTTAAAATACCATATTATTTTTGATTTGGGTTAAAACAAGCCAACTGTAAGGCTGATGTCCCCAGCCGAAATCCCAAAATAAATAGATAACACAATCATATTCATTAATCGCACATCTATTTTTTTCAAAAGTACCAAGCAATCAAACAGATTATCACCTGTTGACTAAGTTTCATCACTCTCTATCAGATAGAATCAAAGTTATCTTGTCCCAAAGCATCGATCAATAAAATTGCTTAGCTCTGCTTAGCTTTAGCTAGAAATGTTAATCATTGAACTCAGTCAAGACATTCACCTAATGAACATTTACATCAAGTTTAAACATACTACCTCAATTAAAAGCAGAATTGTTATGTTACAAAGTCTTGACCAATCAAATTGCTTATCGATCCTTAGCCTAAGCAGAAAATTCTCATCATCAAACTCAGTCAAGGTAATGATACATTGTATATTCAATCTATAATCGGAGTTTCATCACTCTCACTTAATTAGAACTAAAGTTATCATGTCCCTTAAGCATCAACCAAGCAAATTGCTTTAATCCGATTGAAGAAATCTGTGTGCATCATAAGTTGTAATATTTATCTTTAACTGAAAATATATTTCTTATGAAATGAAATGGGGTTTAACGTCCTACTGTTCTGCTCCTAAACTGGGCTAATGAAGACGGGCATATGCCATACAGTGTGCTATGAGGGAAATTTTGCCCGGGGCAGCGGCACTACGGCCTACTCTTATATCGAATTCCAACTGCCAAGGGATCTTTTACATGCACGCCAATATGTACACGGGACCTCAGTTTTTCGTCCTATCCGAACGACTAGACAGCTGTCCTTGTCAGGCCCTCCGTCCTGCATCAAAGACAAGGGGAAACCATGCCGGAAAATCTGGATGAACTTTCTCGGCCATTGCAGGGATCGAACACCCGACCTCCAGGCTAGCAAGCCAGCGTCTTACCCACTTAGCCACCTGATCCCCCATATATTTCTTATGACTCATAAATCTAGAAATATAGATTAAAGAAACATTCCCACAAAACTCTTGGTAAGTATAATGTACGAAGAGCTAATAAATTTTTTCCTGGATTTTATAGTCTCCAATAGATAGTACTGTTTGAAAAACTTTGTAGATGTTGACAAATAACACAAAAAAAACCCTACCAAACCAAAACTTCTTTGCTTACCTTCAATGAGGTTGTCGAGTTATGATGTACTTCCAGAAGTTGATGACAACAATTACCATTGGGAATGACATACGTCATCTCTTAAAAGACAGTGCCACATTAATTAATAAAGTGTTCCTTCCTGATATGTGTGAATGTCACCTAGTAGCAGGAACTAATTACATATAGCTTAGAATTTTGGTACAAACAGAACTGACCATATGGATCACTAGTGTATAGTTAATGTAAGTACGATAAATTCAAGCTATATTGATCTAAAGAGAGATGTTTCATTTTCAACTTCGCATTTAGTATAGATCAATATTCTTACTAACACTAGTTCTATACCACATAGGTAATTGTTCTATAATTATATTAACATGTTCCCTCTGTCGAGAATAATAGTTTTTGATTAATTGCTCTTTCTTTGACGATATAATGTATAATATGCTGATTATTATATGAGATCATCATTTAATATTCTATGTAAATATTCATAATTGAATCAATTATTCAACTAGTGATAATTATAGAATAAATTGTATAGTCTCTATGCTTGTCATGTAAATGTAAACAAATAAAAGTGTTTTTATGACACATCATATTCCATTTAAGGCTATGACATTTGCTATGCTTATTATAGGAGCTAAACCTCTTTGATTTAGGCCAAAATATCAAACTGACTGTTGAACACAGTGGCTCTATCAGTGCAGTGGACCTATAATTTTATATTAGCAGACACCCATTTCAAAGAACATGTATTAAATCAACATATTTGTTTTAACCAAATTAAAGATCTACTAGCTATTTTAACAAGGTTACAGGAGGAAAAAAAACTGAATGACATTTATTAGATGATTTAATAATTGATCTATATCTTCAACAAAACAAAATACTCATCAGAAATAACTAAAATAGAGTTTAACAATTATGCCAATAATTAGGAGCTATAGTTTAGTCTAGACAGAGTGCTACCGCCTACTCTTATTTTGAAGGGTTCTTTTAAGTGTACACCATGTTTTTCATACCTTCCGAACAACAAGACAATGTTCCTTGCCAGGTCCCCTGTCCTGCACCTCTGACAAGGGGGGTACTATGATGCAAAATCCTGAGGTACTTTACTATACCATTCAAACGCTTATTTTTAAACCAGTTCAAAATCGCCGGAGTTTTTAAGACAGGATCGTGTTGCGTTCACACGTACTATAATCCAAACCAGTTTAACTATTTTGACCTCTTCGGTCGGAAGTTTGAGTTAACTATACATGGGTAGCTTCTAGCTTCATATTCTTTATTCAGTTCTCGCACGCTTTTGATTACACTGGCACTGCCTGACCCAGGAATGTAACTTACTGCGTAAGTTGGTAACTTTTTCAAATAAAAGAGGAATCTTGAAATAAAGGCTCGGATAAAATCTCAATGGGAACATATATTCTGGCCACGGTTTCTTTATGAATGTGTCCCGATTAACACATGTTGCTATAATAAGTATACACAAATATCATTAATCAGCTATACACAAACAGATATTATTTTGATAATAATTTTTGTGCTATGCCCGTCTGTTATTGTTTATATATGGGCATCTAGCTCGTACAATTTCGGGTGGTGCGTCAATTGTTTTCCTGACACTAATATTAATGCCCATTTGATATCCTGTTTGGATAAATGTCTATAATCGCCTGTCTTAAAGGATAACTTGGAACTGCCCTCTGTCCACCCCATCTTCCATCCCAAATTTGAATGATTTGTTTGTTTGCCATTATTTATGGTGGTTTACTCTTGGGTCAGTTTGCCTTTTCTTATGGTTGTTTGCTTTTATGTTGGTTTGAAATTGCTTATGGTTTGGGCCGGTTCGATGGGTTTCGATTCAGCTCACCGATTATTTGATCCTCAGAAGCATGAGGTTCTTTAATTGGTAATTGCTTAATAGTTTTTAATAATCACATATCTTTAAAGCAATCTAATTACATTTAATTACTGTCAGTACCTATGCTGCAGTTGTCACAAAATTTAATTTGCTCTCTACATTAATCTGTTATATACAAGCCAACAGTGAGGCTGATATCCCCCGCCGAAATCCCGAAATAAATAGATGACACATATGCATATTAATTAATTGCAAGTTTATCTTCTTTAAATGTATCGAGAAATCAAATTGATTATCAACTATACACTAAGTTTCATCACTTTGTCTCAGATAGAATCAAACTCAAAGAAATTGCTTGACTATGCTTAGCTTTAGCGGGAAATGTTAATTATTGAACTCAGTCAAGACATTCACCATGAACATCAACGTCAAGTTTAAACATTCTACCTCAATTAAAAGCAGAGTTGTAATATTCCAAAGTCTTGACCAATCAAGATGCTTTTCACTCCTTAGTAAAGGTAATGATATAATGAATCTATACTCAGAATCAAATTACTTATCATATTGCTTACC